CTCACGTCGACACACCCAAAATGGTGTTGTTCCCTCAGAGGAGTTTTCCATTGGAAATGAATGGCAGCAACCTCCGGGGTCTGGATGAAGCCGTAATGTTAGGATGTTTTTTGGCATGCATGGGCGGAAATGTGCTGTACAAAAAGCGTTGTACAGATGCGGCACCTGTACAAGTAGATGGATTCATCCCGTGCTCTTAATGATCTCATGTCGCCAAAGGTAAAGGATTTGGGCAGATCGGTTTGTCCAAAAATCAGGTTGAATGGCATGATGGCAGTTGCAGCCCCGGTTTTTATTGGAATGATGCCCCGCATTTTTAGCCAGGTGGTGTGTGTGTGTATATTTATATATAAGTAAATACACATATATATTTATTTATGTATGAAGAATATATGTACAAATATGTATAACTATATATACATATATATATATATCAAACTGGAAGAAGAGAAACCTCAAACTACACAGAAACCCGAAAATATATACAATACAGCACGGCACCTATACCCACTTATACCCAGCCATACCGATTTAATCCCCTGAGCATATCTAAATATAACTTGGCCTACTAGCATAAGTGCATCTAACTAGGGAAGAAAAACCTGGTACACAAACAATGGCCCCCAAAATTTCTTAGTGTTAAACCATCCCTTTTGGGAGGTCCAATGAGGGAGGTCCAATGAAAAGTGTTACCATAGTTGGACACCTGGAAATGCTGAGGCAAATAGTTGGACACATCATTGAATACCTTTTTTAATCAACCATGTTAATTAGGTGATCTAACTAATGGTAAATCAGTTTTAATAGGTAAATCAACTATAAACGGGCCATGTTCAATAGCTATGTTAAATTACCATATAGTTACAATGTGAGGCCCCCCAGTGATGTTTGTTGGTTAACAAAAGCCCCAGTAACTATAGTTATTTGCGTACCATAAACCATAGTGACATTGGAGTTATGCGAACCCCAACTGAACGCTATCGTGGCCGGGGGCAAACCACATTGTAGCCTGAGATCATATTAGATTTGTTACTCCCCATGTGAATCAACCATGCACGTTAATGCCTTTGTTCTGAAAAATCATGTGACAAAACAAAGTCAACACAATAAATAAATAAATCAGAAAAAAGTGAAACTTAAAAACATATTCCTGAAGTTGGCTTTGAGCCTGAATTTTAACTCTCAAATCTAGTGATACTAGATTAAACATCATTTAACAATATCCTTTTGGGGCCTTTTCCTGACATATCTTGGGCCATGCCGTGCTCTCTTGGACCAACTGTACATCAGCAGGGGACATCCACAGCTAATGCGCCGTGGCGTTTCACCAATCGACGGCTCCTACCGTTTCGAGGAGCAAAAAGGTGGCCAGGGGGAGTAGCCAAGTGGGCTTGGGAATGGGATTTCTAAACCATTCTAAACCCATGGAACTTGGAGAATCTGTGAGAATCTCTTCGGAAAAGTTGAAGGTGAAGAGGAACTAAAAAACTGGTTGGTGGTTTGGAACATGAATTTTATTTCACCCAATAGTTGGGATGAAGATCCAATCTGACGAACTCCATCATTTTTCAGGGGGGTAGGTATACCACCAACCAGAAAAACATCATTCAGCACGATTGGTCTCCAGTTTTCCTTTAGTGTTCCACTTTTCGAAAAAGCCTAACCACCACCTCTAGGGATGAAATTGTGGGCATGGGAAGGCAGTCAGAGTTCTCTGCCATTCACTTAGATAAGTGATCTAGTTCTCTGAGTGACAAATCAAGATCTATCTAAGTGAAACATATCCCACACGTTTATTTATGATCCACAAGATGTCACGAAGTCACTGGGACTCTGCAGGAAGGGCAAAATGATAGTGACCTCACTGGTCACCGTCACCATAATGATTACTTTGATACATATCTATAGTTGATTACTGTAACTTGATATTATTGGTAGTAATTCACTGTAAGCTATGATACATATCAATAATGAGTATGCATGATAAACATCCATAAGCTGTATCGCTGATAATGATAAATCCATAGTGGGGAATTATACCATTATCCAAATGACTTGATTTTTCAGCCTGCTCAAAGATTGTTCAGCCAGAGATGCTTGCTGGTGACGTGATTGGTTGAACCAATAATATCAATGACAAAGTAGTGGTTTCAATAATATCCATATAATAATAATATTAATTATTGATAATACATATTGTTCAAAGTATTAGTATTATTGTTAATATTATGATATTTAATTAAATGATATTAATTATTGGTATATACGTAATATAAGTTCTGCTGGTGACGTGATTGTTTCAAAGAATCCCACAAGAGAAGCACAGCATCGTCGTCAGTACACATGTGCTTGCCGCTGCCACTAGCAATTACCATTTGGTTATGACTAACATAGCCATGGAAAATCACCATGCCATTAATAGGTAAACCATCTATTTCTATGGGTCATTTCCCATGGCTATGTTAAATAACCAGACGGTAACTCTTTTGTGGGGAATTTG